TCTTGCAGGTACCCCCCCACCTCGTTCAAAACTTTCAGCTCGGAGCCAGCCGTGACGGTCCAAGTCTGATCAGGTTAGATCACTTATCAATCTAAAATCTTAAGGTGATAGGTGAGTGAGTTCTCCCATTTATATATGCTTAAGTCTCCACATTCGTATATGTAAGACTATTTCTCCACTTATTCAAACTTGCTATATTATTCCAACACTCCTCCTCAAGTGTGAGTCCACAATGCTCTCCCACTCTTCCGGTCCTTTTCTCGAGCCAAAGACTCTGATATTATTGTTGGAGTGAGATACTAAAAACATTGATACATAGTGTAGGACTATGCACCTTTGTGGGAGACACATCCTTATTCTCAACTATCCTCCAATTTATAAGAACATGATATTCATCTTTTAAACCATCATTACTTTTGTTCGCAAGTGCAATGTCACGAACCCCCTCCAACCCTCCTTTACTTCCTTGTGTTCTCGCAACTCCATGCAAATAAACCTCCATATTATATAATTTTTTACTGTCTTACACTCTTTTACACATTAAATCCCAATATACCATCCTCTTCACTCAATAATCCCAATCTACCCTCTTTTCAAACAAAAAATTTTTTTGCCACAACACATCCGCCAATTGAATGGGCGGAGCAGTGATAACTTTTTCCAATCCGCTGAAGCATTGGGCGGAAGCTTTAAAAATTAGAGAGGGTCCGCCCATTAGATGGGCGAAAGAGTGTAAACGTAATTTTATTTTTTTAAAATTAAGTTGTTATAATTAAATAAAATATATTATAATTAAATAAAATACACTATAATTAAACAAAATATACTATAATTAAACAAAAATTTCACTAATTTACTTAATTTTTTTTTTCATTTTTAAATTATATAATTCCACTATAATTAAACAAAGATTCAATAGAGAAGATACATCTACTGTCAATTTTGACCGGGTCGTGTCAATCGTTGGTGAGTTCCACAAGCAGGTGCTCGTCTAGTACGTTGGCCTGTTCTACGATTTCTTTCTTCATTTTGTGGTTGAGTTGAAGGTCCCGCGTCACACCCGCCCATTAAAAATTCCTCAATCATGTCCTCATTGGTATAGTCTGTCTCGGCTGCACTGCCATAACTTAATCTAGTTCCCTCTCAATTCCAATTTGGTATGGGATTAGAAGACATTGGACTATTTATTAAGGATTGGTAACAATCTTGGGAGGTAAATTGTTGTGGCCGGAAAATAGGCATTTGTTGTTGGGGTGTCTGATAGTTGGGATTATGTGGGGTTTGTAGTGTTAATGATGTTTGTGGTAGATTGATTGATGTTGATTGAGTAAGATGTGAGTATTTTTGTTGGGTGCCCCATTGGGTGGGGTTAGATAAAGGAAATTGTTGTTGGGTGCTCCATTGGGTGGGGTTAGATGAAGGATATTGTTGTTGGGTTCCCCATTGGGTGGGGTTAGATGAAGGGTTTTGTTGATGGTATTGTTGGCTTGGGGTAAAAGGTGGTTGTGTTGGGAAGAAAGGTTGTTGCGTAAAAGATGGTTGTGTTGGGAAGAAAGGTTCTTGGTTGCTCATGAATGGTTGTTGGGTGTAAGTGCTTGATGATGGTCTGGTGTGTTGGACGTTTGAAGATGTTGGTAAATTACGAGGGTCAAATAAGAAGTTGTTTGGTGACAGATACAAATTTGTAACAGACCTATACCATTCCATGTATTCCTTACTCGGTTTACATTCTTCTGACATGACATCTCCTTGTAAGACTTTATCTTCGCGGTTATGCCATTGACGACGCTCCTGTTTGTAACAATCTTTCCAATTGCTATATGCCCATTGGTCGTTCACCACACTTTTGTGATACTCCTCCATGCACTGTGGAGCATCCGGTATGCCTTGCATAATGTCAAATTGGAATTTTACCCGATCAGAATGATGCATTTCAACTGTTGCAAAACAAATGATAAATGTTTTTGCACTCCACACGTGACTATCAGTCGAATCGGTATCATCAAGTCCTAGATATGGCCTCCATGTAAACTGTTAAAAAATCAGTTATTAGTTTAACGAACTATATAAAATAATAGTAATTATTAGTAATCTATGGTTAAGAATATTACATCAGCTTCTTCGAAATGATCGATGAAAGTCCGATAGCCAGGGGCACAATGATGAGGAGTCTTTTCGTAATCCATCCCATAGGCAGACCATCTAAAAATAAATAATACTTAAATATTATTCACATAGTAAATAAGTTTAAGACAAAGGAGTAGTTTCAACTTACTTGGTTGCGTAAGGATCCCTCTATCAAGGTGAGTGTATGTATTAACGAAATTGTTTCTTTTTTCAAATACACTCCATCTTACAAGAAGGCATGGATTGCTAGAAATAAAATAATCGAACAAGTGTATGGTAATTGGGAAAAGTCATACAATGAACTTCCAAATTACTTGTTGGCCCTTAAGAAGTTTGTTCCAGGCACTGTAGTAGAAATGCAAACACTACCGTTATATACAGATGACGGGACTGTTATTGCTGGGAAACAAATCTGCCACCGACTATTTTGGGCTTTCCAACCATGCATATATGGCTTTGCATGTTGCAAGGCTTTACTACATATTGATGGTACCTGGTTATATGGAAGGTACAAAGGTACACTACTAATGGTTGTAGCACAAGACGGAAACAACAATATTTTCCCAGTTACCTTTACCCTAGTGGAAGGTGAGACGGCGAATGGTTGAGGTTTCTTTCTAAAAAACTTGAGAATGCATGTAGCTCCTCAACCTGGCTTGTGTTTGATTTCTGACCGACATGCATCTATCGAAAGCGCTTATAACAATCCTGAAAATGGTTGGAATAACACTACATCTGTCCATGTGTATTGTATCAGGCATATTGCGTAAAATTTTATGAAGGATATCAAGGACCGTATCCTCTGGAAAAAAATAATCAACATGGGTAAGTACCTTTTATGGAAACATTAGATGCTCGTTGATAGTATACCATTATATTAACCAATATTTTTTGTAACATGTAGGGTATGCGCTGAACCAACCAACGTTTAAATATTATCGTAATTAGATTGGGATGGCTAATGGTGATGCTTTGAAGTGGATAGACAAAATTCCAATTGAAAAATGGAAGAGGGCATTTGACGAGGGTCGTCGTTGGGGGCACATGACAACAAACCTTGTTGAGTCATTAAATTCTGTATTTAAAGGCACTTGTAATCTCCCCATCACAGCGTTAGTAAGTGCAACATACTATAGGATGAGAACACTCTTTGCTGAAAGGGGTGCAAAGTGGAGTGCAGTTTTGAATTCTGGACAAACATTTACAGAGCGGTGCGTGAAGATGATGAAAGAAGAGACGTCAAAATCTGCCACACATCAGGTAAGCATTTTTTACTATAATAATAACACTTTCAATGTGAAGGAGACAATTAATCATGGTAAGGGGAAGCCATTGGGGCGTTACAAGGTCAACCTAATGGATGGATGGTGTGATTGCGGAAAGTTTCAAGCATACCGTGTTCCTTGTTCACATGTTATCGCTGCATGTTTCGTGGTGCGCCAAGACACATTTCTTCTATTGTCTGACGTTTACAAGGTGGCGAACTTATTTGGGGTTTACAACACGAGCTTTCCAGTTCTACCATACGATGAGTATTGGCTCACTTATGAAGGAGATCAGATTTTCCATAATCCAGTTATGCTGAGGAACAAGAAAGGTCATCCTGTTAGCACCCGTATTACAACAGAAATGGACGCATATGATAAGTTTGAGAGAAAATGCATATTGTGTCGTCTTCAAGGTCACAACCGAACACGATGCCCCAATGTAGGAACTAGTAATAATTAGTTATTCATTTTGTTATCAATCTTCAAAGTTGTATGTATAATGACACCAAGAAATTATGTTTTATTTCACTAATACTTCTGCATTTAATATAAATAACAATTCAAAAAAACAACACATAAATTAAAATACTAAGACGAATAGTAGAACTTAGCAACAACATTAAACCTAAACAACATCAACATGTTCAAACAAAGACATAAGCATTTCGAGGATATTACAACCAGCAACACAATATCTTTTTGTTGAAGCATCATCATAAGAACACATGCATCGTTGTGAACAAGTCTCCAAGAACGAGTGGGTCCATTTAAGCCAGGCACATTAACTAGCCTCTCAATTTTCCGGATCTTTTCACCTTGGGAAATTTCTTCCCCTAACCATCCCTCCAAGTGCCTATGCAGATGCTCAAATGTCTGCGTGCTCAGCAATTTGATCTTTATCGGAGGCTTTACTGGAGAAAAAATCAGTCCGGCGTCTCTTTTCATATATGGAAACGTTGGAATCTCTCCGGATGTTGAAGATATTTTTAAGATACAACTAAAGAAAAATATTTTAAGTGTAGCTAGGATCATTCAACATCAACGATATTTATAGTTCACAACAAAAATTTTAAAATAATAAAATAATAAAACCCTTCGCCCATTGCAGTGGCGGAGCCGTACAGAAATAATAAAATAACGAAAGCCTCTGTCCATTGCACTGGCGAAACCGTACTTAAATAATAAAATCATAAAACCAATAAAACCCTCCGCCCATTGCAGTGGCGGAGCCGTACTGCAATAATAAAATAACAAGAGCCTCCGCCTATTACATTGACGGAACCATATTTAAATAATAAAACTCTCTGCCCATTACAGTGGCGGAACCGTTTTTATTTATTACTATGATTAACATTTATTTTAATTTAAACTTATTTTTAAATGTTAATTTTAATATTGATTTTTTATTTAATAGTAATTTTTATTTATTTTTAATATTATATTTAAAAAAATGGTATTTAAATAGCTCCGCCAATGTAATGGGTGGAAGATGTATAACATAAAGAACATCCGGCCATCCATTAGGCGGAATCTCCTACTTTCAATTTTTTTTTTGGAAAGATGGTATATTGAGAATATTAGTTGAAAAGGGTAGTACTTTGAGAATTAATTAGTAAAAGAGTGGTATGTTGATAAAAATTTCATATTATGTGCACTAACCCCACTTTTCAAGTACTTAGATTTCCTTGTGTCGATTAACAATTCTTCTCCCTCTGCATAATAGACAAGTAAGAGACTTTTCGGGACAACATCGATTTCATTTCGAATAACCAAAGCTCTCAAGTCTTTGTAGTCAGAGAAAATCTTTGCAAAACTTGAGTTTCCAACACGAGGTGAAGCAAATGCAAAGGTTGTGACAGGACATGCTTTTTGAGGTTGATCTTTAGGCATGTTGAATTTATTAGCAACTATGTCCACAGCATTTATGGTTGCAAGTGCAGCTCCTAAGCTGTGTCCAGTTATTGTTATGCTAATTTCTTCATCCTTATATAGCTCCACAAGTCTCCTAATCTCGTTTAGAACCTTTATTTTTTTTTGTGGCAATAAATAAATTACAAACTAAACTAAATATATAATACATACATATGTCTAAAACTATATAATTACCTGATTTCTGGCACTTTGTAAATTCACATTTTCTGAAGTATAAAGGGAGTAAATACCATTGTGTAATTGTGCATGAGATTCACTACCAAATATTAGTGGAGCAGGATCCAAATCTAAATGAAAATTGCTAACCCACTCTGAACCTTGAATTGTTCCTCTCCAAGCAACAACTATGTCCCTCCTCCCTAATGCTATTTTACCTGTTAAATATAGTTAAAGTTTGTTAAAATAGTTACAAGTTTGTTGCTATCCATGAAGCACAGACTCTCGGACAGACACAACAGGATACAACATAGTCACTTCAACACAACACCGATAATGACAAAAATATAGGACACAAATACCACTAAATACATAATAATATTAGAATAATAATGTAAGTGTGACTAAGTGGAGAAATAATCTCATATTAGATATGAATGTGAAGACTTGAGCATATATAAGTGAGAGAACCCATTTACGTATCATCTTAAAGTTTTTGGTGGATAAGTAATATGTCTCTCACAAAGATCTATAATCCTCAATTTTGTATCAATGCTTCTAATAACTCCTCCAACAAATAATATTTAAATTTCATAAATTCTTTTTAAAATACACATCTAAATTGTCTGACATATTATAGAAGTGTTATACGATATTCTAATACTTATTTAAAGAGTATCGAAACAATTGAAACAAAAATTATTTTTTGAGGAGGTTTGTCTAACATTTGTAACATTAATTTGTTTAACTTTTTCAAAACATTATTAAAACCCATCTTCAGGCACAAATATGTAATATTATTATATAATAACTCAATAAGTATCTATGCTTAGTCTTTCTGCATTTGCCTAGTTTATATAGACACACCAACTTGTACCTATACTCATGTTTAATGTTTTGTTAATTGGGATTAGCAAGTCTCACCAATTGAGTGTTTTTAATTAATAAACTGAATAGCCTGCCAGCAAATGCATTGTCTAATCCCAGAAGTTAAGTTAAGTATAAGACTAAACAGATGGAAACTTTGTCCCTAGTTTCTTTTTATTATTTTTGCTGCATTCTAAATAATGGAATATAAGTTCAATAATCATTATTAAAACTCAAATTAAAACTCAAAGACTACTAATTAAACTGAAGAAACATACCATTTTAAATTGTATTTGTTTTAAAATATTATTATTACATATAAACTCATTTCTAAAATACTAAACAGATTTAATATTTCTTTAATAAGTAAATTCTTAATTATATGAATTTTTGAATATGTAAAATCAAAATTTTTAAAAATGGTAATTTAGATATTGTTTATTGGTGTTTTTGATAAACAATTACAAGTTTATTATGTTTGTCAAATTAACTCGAAAAATCTCTAAAATAATTTTTACGAATTAATTGTACGAAAAACAATGTGAATTGAATGCAATTGTTTGTATGAAGACCAAATAGATGCAAAATCAATCTATTAAAAGTAAAATACGTGGAAATTTCAAGTCTAACCTTTTGATTAGATGTTATAACTTTTCTTATTCCAAGGGTATAATAGACTAATCAACACTATGCTGTTACCATATTCATTTGGCATTTAATTTTGCTGACATGTTAATCTATCATAATTTTACACTATTTTTTATTTATTTGATTTATTAATTTATTTTATTTATATTTGAATTTTATTTATATTTGAATTTCAATTTCAATGTTTCATTCACGGTTAATTTATTTATATTTGAATTCCAATGTTTTTTTGACAGAATTTAAATTCTAATGTTTGACTCACGGTTAATGAGGAAGGAATTGGAATGGTCAAATTAGATCTATTATAATTAAATGGAATATTATTCATTGCATGATTTAAAAATACCCATTATTTATCATTACACTACAAGATTAAATGTATATTATTGGAATTAGAATGGATTATTTTGATATTTTAAGATATCACAACTTTGTAACGCACATTTCCGCTCCATCTCGAAGATTCAACAACCCGCCAATGGCTCCGCCCATTTTATCTCGAAGATTCAACAACCCGCCAACTGACAAAATTGTAACCGCACATTTCCAATATCAGTTAAAATGATACGTTTAATTTGATTTTGGAGTGAGATACAATCAATATGGCATGGCTATATCAAAAAACGTTTCAAGCCTATCAAATGCATGCTTGAGTAGTTACTATTCATGATGCACTTCATTTTCGATTTCCAAAGTGAAACTATAATGATTTTTTCTGACCATTGCTTTTCTTTTCAATTCAAGATTAATTTTTAATTGCTATAATTTTGTCATTTAAATATTACAATTTTTATATTATAATTTTCTGACCATTGCTATATTACAATTTTTAATAAAATATTTACGATTTATTTTTTTAAAGTACGACTAATTAATATATTTTTATACAATATTAAAAACAAATATTACAATTTTTTAATCAAATATTGGAGTACCATTTAATTCGATACTTTACCAATATATCTTTTGAATGGAGACATTATTATCATTTATTTTTATTATACTTATATGAAAATTATTTTGAATGGTGACATAAATATATTTAATTTTTATATATGATTTGATTCCATAAAATATTATGATCAATAAAATTTGAATTCTCTTTTAATATTATAGGTTTGATACTGTTTCATATTGTAGGAATATTATATACATTAGAATATATAAAGATATGAAAAAAATTAAATCAAAACTTTACGAATATATCTTTTGAATGGAGGTATTAATATTATTTATTTTTATTATATATAGAAAATATTTTGAATGGTCACATTAATACATTTTATTTTTATGCATGATTTGATTTCAAAAATTTATGATCAATAAATTTTGAATGGAATTATAATTTAACCAATAAAATTTTCTACCGACTTCTAAATATATTTGTGTATATTTTTTGAAAGGTTACATTTATATTCTTGAAAAAAATAACGTAGTTTAAAGGATGTATTGTTAACTATAAATATATTGTTAATAAAATTAACAAAAAAAATATATTATAAATATATAAAAGATAAAGTAAATAAGAACTCTAATGTTTATCTTAAATATTTAATTTATCATTCTATAAATGTAAGAATAAATATTATTTTGTAATTATTTAGATCCTTATTTGACCTAAAATAAATTATTTCAATTTCTATAAAAAGGTTAATAAAACAAAACAAAATCAATTGAGATTTGATAATTTTTTTAAGTTTATGAAATAACTAAAATATATCATAATCTTTTCAAATTAACTTTATAATTGTAATCATGATAAAAAAATATTAAATGGTAATCATGAAAATTTAATGATAAATGATAATTATAAAAATTTATGATAAAATAAAAAATTATTGATACAATCATTTTAATAAATTAAATAATTTATAAATTAATTTTATAAAAGTGAATAAATTACAAATAATTTTATAAATGTAATAAATTAAACTATTTATAAAATTATTTATATCAATAATAGTAAATTACATATATTTTAATAATGGACACGAATTCAACATGCTTATAAATCGGAAAAAAGTTACAATAATTTTATAAACAGGAATAAGTTAATATCATTTTATATAAATTAATAGTATAATATAATGTATTAAATATTTATATAACACTTTATTAAATAAATTTATTTCATGAAATTAATTTTATATAATATCATTAATATTTAATCATTAAAATGCATGCTTGAGTAGTTACTATTCATGATGCACTTCATTTTCGGTTTCCAAAGTGAAACTATAATGATTTTTTCTGACCATTGCTTTTCTTTTCAATTCAAGATTAATTGGCAGAATGGTTAGAATCTGGAAAGTTATCTTTTCTTATTGGTACTTGATTGTCCATAATTATAACATTTTTAATTAAATTTTGAAATAACACTTAACACTATTTAACGCTATTATTATTATTAATTATTATTATTAATAATTAAAATGGTTCACAAAATTAATCACTATTGTTGACTTCAGTATTTTACTTCAAAATCTTGGAACCGTGAATGTTGTATTAACAATTATATTTATTATCATATAACCAAAAACTTTATTCATTTTATGTCTACAATCATTTTATGTGGTTAACAAAAAAAAATTGAATGACAACCATACAATCAAAGTGATTTTCTACCCATTCATTTTTGCATCACCTAACCAACACTATGGAACCACAAGTTGCAGCAATGGCAAGACGTAAAAGAAAGCAGATTCTTAAAGATAAAAGATTGAAAAAAAGGAAGAACTGATGAAAACACAATCAATCCCATTGAAAACTCTCAAAGGTATTATGTTCCAACCATGGTTATTATCATAACACCACTATCTGATTTAACTTCATCAATCTTTAATGAAATAAATATGAGTTCACCTTCACCAGCATCTGCATCAAGCAACTCAAGTACAATGAAGAGTTTCAATATTGTTTCTACAAATCAACTGGCTGCTTCAGCACGACAGCGGAGGAAAAGTATTATGGAAGGTAAGATGCCCCAATCTTACAAACTTCATAACAACCTTAGCAATAACAGTGGGGGTCCTTTCAGGATAAATTCTCCATCCTTTTTGCATTTCAAAACACCATTTTCTGATATAGCTTCCTCATGTTCTAACCAAAGAAACATAAAACCTCATGCACCGCCAAGTTGTTCTATTCAAAAATAAAAAAAAAACAGTTGACTATTACACCTCTTTCTGATATAACTTCCTCATTTTCTAATCAAAGAAATATGGAACCTCATGAACATCCAAGTAGTTATGTTCATAAATAAAAAAAACAGTTGAATGTAGGTGTTATTCAATCCATGACGGTCAAACTCTTCAATTATTTTGGAAATGAGAATCATAATCTGGCTTTTCATCCACAAGCAATATTCCTATACAAGAACCCACAACATTCACTTCAACTCCAGATGTTAACATTGAGAGTGATTACTCTGGTGATGAGACGGTAACAGATGATTCTCTCAGTGATAGCTCATGTGAATTCAATGCCGCAAATGCAAATTATGACTCAAGTTCCAGCTATGATGACGAAGATGTCTATGACTCCAATTCTACATCATTTGATTCTTTAAATATTGGTATTTATCATTAAAACCAACTTTATTTCTTCTTTAAATTCATTATACATATCAATTTGACGTTGTCCATTACATGTTGCACTTTGATACCTGCTATGATTTAATGTGGATTTTAGTTATAATTTTATTATTTAATATGAACGATTTTAGTTATAATTTTATTATTTAATATAAACCAATTGCTCAACTACGTTTCATTTAAATAGGTTATTCTGATATTGGTGATCCTATAGTTGAATGCACACAATGTGGGGCACTTATATGGTATCAAGAAAAAACTGACAAGCGAAAACATAGTGCAGTTCCTAAGTTTCAACTATGTTGTGGAAAGGGGAAAGTTGTGTTGCCACTTCTGAAAACACCACCACTATTACTACAACGTCTTTTGTTTGATAATAGTGAGATAGACAGTCGAAATTATCAACAATTTTGTAGAATGTACAACATGATGTTTGCTTTTACGTCTCCGGGAATTAAATTCGACAACAGATTTTTAGCTGGAAGTGGACCACCTAACATAAGAATTCATGGATAGACTTGCCATCAAATTGAGAGCATGTTACCTTTAACTGGACAATCTCCAAAATTTGCTCAACTGTATGTTTACGACACCGACAATGAGATTCAACATAGAATTAAAGGAATTGGGTAATTTTACCAAACTTTGTTTTCTTTACAACATATTAAATATTTTTCATTGCTGCATCATAGTATTTCCTTTTATATGCAGGAACAACCCCAATATTATTCCAGAAACAGTTAGTAGATTGAAGGATATGTTAGATGAGTTCAACACACATGCCAAATCTTTTAGGATGGCAGCAGATAGATTAAAGGATTGTCCTTTGCCTGATCTCAAGCTTAAGCTAATATCTGATAGATCAACAGATGGAAGGATTTATAACCAACCTACTGTTTCGGAGGTAGCCGCCCTAATAGTTGGTGATGTTGATACGGGTTCTAAGAGGGATATTCTTCTTGAAAGAAAGAGCGGAAGGCTAAAAAGAATAAGTGAGTTTCATTCAAGTTATCTGGCATATCAATATCCACTTTTGTTTCCTTATGGGGAAGATGGTTTTAGAATTGGAGTTCTTCTTAGAGAAACTAATACCAAAAAAAAAATGAAGAGGAATAAGCTTACCATTAGAGAATGGCTTGCTTTTAGGATTCAATGCAGACATAACGAGGCACAAACTATATTGCGGTCAAGAAGGTTGTTTCAACAATTTTTGGTTGATGGATTTACTATGATGGAGTCACAAAGATTGAATTATATTCGAAAACATCAGAAAAAGCTGCGTGTTTCTAAATATTGCAATTTGAGCTCATCTGAACAGAATGCAAACACTCAAGGATCAAACAAAGGTAAAAGAGTGGTTTTACCTTCAACTTATGTTGGAAGTCGGAGGTTTATGGAACAACTCTATTTTGATGGAATGGCAATTTGTAGCCAAGTTGGATTTCCATATCTTTTTATCACATTTACTTGCAATCCCAACTGGCCTGAAATCCAAAGGTTGCTTAGCAAAATTAACTTGAATTCTCAAGACCGTCCAGATATCATCTCAAGAGTCTTCAAAATTAAGTTCGATGAGTTGTTGTGTGATCTAACAAAAAAGCACGTGTTAGGGAGAGTGATTGCATGTAAGTCAATTTAATACCCTTTCAGTCGAGTTATATTTTTTGACATTAATCTTATTAAATATGTAATATGCATCGTTTTACTAAGTTTAAACTTACTTAATTTCAGATATATACACCATTGAATTCCAAAAGCGGGGTTTACCACACGCCCATATACTATTATTCTTGCATCCTTCAAGCAAGTATCCGACTCCAGATGATATAAACATGATCATTTCAGCAGAGATACCAACGGAA